TCCATAAAAATAGCTTCTGGGGAGGAAAACTAGAGTTGATTGTTTCCTGTGCTTGCAAGAAGAAACGGATGACACAGACTGAAAACCATGCTTTGTTATAAATACTGTCCTTTTCTGATCTTAAAGATTTTAGTCTAAGCTGTCACATGGACTTGGCTTTAATTATAATATATAATGGTTAAAATATTTCCGCACAAAGGAGAAAAAAAAGAGGGAGCATCAACTAAGGTATTATCTTATAATAAGATGTATGATTTGCAAAAGATTAATTTGAATCTCCGTGATCCACATGCATAGGAAGTTAAATGTCAGTGACCCAGGTCACAAGCTTCTCATGTCATTTGAGAAAGATTTTTGATTCACCTGGGAGGTGGAATTCCTGTGAGAAGGAATTTCCTTGTAAGTCTGTGTAACTCAGTTTCTAGCTAGAACAGTAGAGCTTCTGCTGACCTGTGGTTCATTGGGAAAGGGCTGGGAAATAGAACAGTAGAACCTGCTAAGTATGACATTGGGTTTGTTGTGGCTTGGAGGTTACATCATGGCCTGCTACAGAAGTGTCAGAGTCCCTGGCAGAGAACGTGTGATGTAAGCTTGCATTTTCTCTTTTGGCAGAAAGGGGTCTCTTTGGCTCTGGAGCCATCAGAACCACTCACCTACCAGAGAGGGAGGAGAGGGGTAGGAGACACTGGGACTGGAACAGAAGATCTGCCACCAAAGGCTCTGGTTGGACATGCTGTACTCTTTCCTTCCCAGTGCTTGTGCTGGCCTTGTGTGAAATAGGGTTCCTGGGATTGAGATTTTTTGGCTATTTCAAGTAATTTAGAATATTTTTCTTGATGCAGTTAAAGCTGTGCTTCAGTCCTGCTTTGAAGCCTTTATTTGAAGCTACCAAGACTAGAAATTGATCCTTCAATGAAAACCAAGATAGTCTTATATTAAGAGAGATCTCTTGTGGGAACAGGGGTTCTAGGCATAAGTTACATCACTGACGTCTAAATAAATTCAAATCTTAAGTCCATGCGCAACTTCTTATGGAAGAATGCAGTTCACCTCAAACTCCCCGAGTGTTTGTTAATATGTGTTAAAAAGTTACCATGGAGCTAAAAGAATTGATCTAAGATGTCAACTATTTACATGAAGGAATGTGGAGTAATCTATTTATGATAGTAAAAGAAAATCTGCATTTAGAGTCAGTTCAGGCAACTCTGAACTACTAGGTGCCTGCTATTCTGTGGCACAGTCAAGGTCATAACCCTGGTGCTAACAGGATGAGATGGACATTGTGACTCTACTGCAGGGTTTAATATGTGTTTCCTCTTGGTGTGAAAGAAAAGCACTCTGCACCTTCTATTTTCCCTCTGTGTTGCATTTGTGTCTTTGTTTAGGGAACAGAAATCATGTAGTAGCAGTAGTAGTATAAGCTGGCTAGTGGTGAAAGGAAATGCAGAAAGGTTCAGTCGTGTGGTGCTTCTTCAACATCTGTGTGAGGGCAGAACACAGGTTGTCACTCACAGAGTTGGACTTGAACACCATCTACTCATCTTATCAGCTCTATTTCTTATGCTGCCAAATTTTAATGCCTAAAATCGCCTTTCCTGTGAGCCATGATGACAGGATGTGTGGGAAGAAATTTATGAAGAAGAGTGAGAATTTTCTGCTTGGCCCTTAGGGTGGGGACTGGCTGGCTAGGAAAGAAGAGACCGTTGACTCAGACACCACCTGGTTCAGCCAAGCAGACCAGAACTGTGTCAGCACATGTGTAAGCTGCTCTTGTCCCCGTCACTAGGGAGCAGTGTCGGTGCTCTCTTCATCAGTGGGTCTGATCCCTTCATCTCCCTTTGACTCAAAGCAGAAGCTCCTGCACAGTGGCAGTTGGAAAATGAGAGCTGCAGCGCCTGAGCGGAGAGAACCCCGGTTGGAGCTCCCGCTGCCCTGTTATGATGAGCTTCTCAGCTGCAGCTTAAAGGCCCAACAGAGAGTTTTGTGATTTGACTTAAGGGATTGCTCTCAGACATGAAGCAAATAAGTGATTAATTATAAAGAAGATGTGGTAATGAGTTTCAGATGAGGTCTTTTATGTTTATTAAAAGAGGTCTGAAAGTTTGCTGCTACTGCTATTTCTCGTTTTCTAACTTAAAAAGTCATCTTTGAATCTCATACTGCACACTGCTTACAGACTGCAAGATCTTATTACTGTGATATGCTAAAAAAAGAGTTTTAAAAATAAGATAAATCAAGTAGGATATAAATCTTTTTTTCAGTGTATAGGAAGGCAATGAGCCATTTTAAGAGGAGGAAGAACATGCATTCTGAGATCCAATAGATCATCTAAATTGGTCCCAAACCACGGTTTAAAATGGCATTGCACAGACTTTTGCTTTGAATAAATTTACAAAACTCTGAATATAAATATAAATAAATTAGATTTCCTGGTTGTTTTGTACTTTACTAGTACTCAAATTAACTAGGAAAAAAGTGCTTAATAGATATGAATTTTTCTGACTATTCCAACTGCAGAGCTTTAAAATGCTAACCTAACATTTATACATTCTCAATTTCTTCCTTTTAGCTCTTTATGATGAATAAATTTTATTAACTTCTCAGTAATATAAACTTTGAAACCTTGTTCTTTATTTTCTGACACTTGTATGTTTGAAATTTACGTTAGTGAACCTAAAATTTTTCACCTGCCTGACTTCCTGCAGCTTTCTTGTAGATGGAGAGTTGTTCTATATTGCCACATCATAGATTTTTCAGTCCAAACCTTGTCTTCTCAGTGGTGTACCTTATGACCAAAACAAGCCTGTGTGTGTCTGCTTAATGTGCACACCTTGTGGTTTCAAAACTGCAAAAGAAAATAGTATCAGAAAGACTGTCTCCATTCAGGGAAACCTGTCTTTGTAATAACAAGCGATAGTACTGTATTTTAGTTCTCTACTTTGCATGGAATTATAATGTTGTTCTAATGGCTTGCAAACCTTGCAAAAGTTCTCCATGCCCATGCTCCCATGTCTCTGCTTTCTCTGCTACATAGAGTCTTTCTCTGCATGGAGCGGAAGGGCAAACATAGAAGTAGGTCTACAGCAGTATTTTTAGTATCTCCTCTCCTGGATTCTGCGTTTTGATGTGTAAACCAGCCTTCTGGAGAAGAGAACTATTTCATTAAGAATGAACTCCTCAGTTTCTGTACGCTAGGCTTGAATTGGGAGTTTGAGACTGCATCGTATTTTGAATGCCCTATATTCTACAGACAGTGTCTTTATATTCTTGAATTATTACTGTGTTGATTCTTAAGTGTCTTGTTCTTCTCTACTATATAAAAAGCTGTACCATTAAAACTTGCAAAACTTAATTCTGAGCTCTACTTTTTGCTAGCAATTTGTCCTATAGTTTTACCTCCACTTACCTAGTGCCTTTATTTTGTTCCGTTATTATATTTTAAGGGACTTGTGACAATATCATTACTTGGAATACCTTTTTTAAAGTTCTTGAGAGAAAATGGTCTGCTTGTATCAGTGACTGCTTCCTTTCCTTGTCACAGTGTGAAGAACAGCACCTTTTCCATTTGCAATCATTCCTTACCTTGTAGTAACTACTCTAGGCAGTGCTTATGTAGAAAGGTATTATTAAAAAAGGTAGTAGGAATTTGAAGCTGTGAAGTAGGGTTGTTAAATCTACTTGGAAAAAGTCGCTTTCCTGTTGAGCTCTTTGTTTCTTCACCTCTTCAGACATTTTTCATGTATTGCCACGTGGATCCGTGTGTATATGCCTACTGCTGTGGCCGTGTCTGTCTATTCACATTGGGCATACTTTCCTGTTTCTTGGTTATACTTCCCAAAGAGCCAGTTCTCTCCTTGAACAGTTACCCTGTTCCTTAGATTTTCTTTTCTTGTCACTTTGTTCCTTGCTTCACCAAATGTTTTTCTCTTTTTTTTGACGATAACGTTTATGCTGCTATTCCTTAAGGTGGCTGCTGCTTTCCTACCTGCTCCTCCTCTTGTACTGGAGGAGAGTCAGCTATTTTTCCTCCTTTTTTTTCAAATGTTTTTATGAATATCCAAGCTTTTAATTGTAATTAGCAGTAGTGCTGCTTATAGAAACAACTGTATACAAATAATCACCAGTATGCCATGATCTATGGATTTTTTTTCAGACGAACAGCAAGTATTTGCCTGACCTAATTTGCGAACTGTTTGAATTGTGTTAAGAAAACAATGAAATTCCATTATTGAGCATTTGCACAGCAAGAAATGAGAAAAATCAAGTTTAGCTACACCTTCTGGGCTCTTAGAATGCTTTTAACGTTTTTTTTCATTCCTTTTTTTAATTTTATTTATGGTTTCTAAAGAAAAAAACCAGTTATGTAATGCAGAGCAATTTGGTGAGGTTCTTTATTGAGACCTGTCTGCTTAGGAAAATCTTTGGAATATCTCTTATTTTGTTTGACAGGAATTTGTGCTTATTACAGAAGAGTACAGTAAGGCCCATTTGTTAATAGACTTAGGCAATGTACACTGAAGGAAAGAACCTTATTTCCCTGTTTGGCACGTCGTTGTTAAATCATTCTGTTTCTAGATTGCTGATCTGTGCCCAAACCTATATAGCAACTGTGGTATCTGATTGTCAAATTTGTGGCAATGGGCAAATTAAATGTGGGGTACAGAATGCTATTTTCAGTGAGTTTTATATGTAAAGTCAAGAAAATATTCTCTTCTTTTTTTTTTTAGTCCTTTATGCATATGTCAAGTTAGGACTGTTTTAATTCTCTTCTGTGTTTTGACTCTTCTACTTTTTCTCCTCATGCAGTGGTGCTGAAACTGCTTTTGTTTTGTATTCCATTTTAACAAATAAAAGAATCTCTTAGTCCAAGATAATGTCGGAAGATCTACATAGAAAGAAATAAAACATGTCATAAGTGACAAAAAGAAGAGGAATTAGAAAAAAACCCACATGGTAATGATCTTTATAAAAACTAAATATGTTTGATTTACTTACTGTAGGTTGATGCCTTGCGTTTACGATTGGAAGAAAAAGAAACCTTTCTGAATAAAAAAACAAAACAACTTCAAGACCTCACAGAAGAGAAAGGAACCCTGGCTGGAGAGATTCGAGATATGAAAGACATGTTGGAAGTAAAAGAAAGAAAAATTAATGTCCTTCAGAAAAAGGTAAGGGCACTGGTGAGAGGATATGTTGTAAAAGTTTGAGGTGCATTTAAAGGAAATACGTTTATTTCTTATAGCATATTACTTGTAATCTATAAAAAATTCAAGGAGTAAGTCTGTATTAGTTAAGTAGTTCTCTAATTTAAAATATGTTACTATTTTCCATGGGATCATTTCTATAGTATTAATTCTATCATAAAAATACTAGGTGTTGCAGTTTCTACAAAATTATTGAAATGAAAATTCTGAAAAAAACTTCTTATTCTTCAACATGAGGGATTCTGTTGTTCCTACTAATACTGATTTACTACTCTTTCCTAACAATGTAAATAAAATTTGTGGGACTGCTAAAAGATTAGGATACTGCTTTTTTTCTTTAAAAACTTTTTTTTTTGGCAGGGGAAGGACTTGGAAAGAAACCTAAATTAAGTCAGTTATCTGCTCTACCTGTGAGCTAAAGACATTAAGAAGGGAAGTTTCTCCAAACAGCCTCATTAATCCTATTTCAGATTTTCCACAAATTTTAGCTAACTGCATTTGCTCTCTTTGGGAAGTTGGATTTAGTCATTATAGTTTCCACTTGGGGGGACAGGGAGGGAATTTCCTGGAAAAGCAGCTCTTCAAGGGTTCTGCATACAGTAGTGGAGTGTTTATTTACCATATCCTTTTTCTTACACTCACAAAAAATATTTATACCAGGAGATACACTCTTTATCGTATATAGATGAATTTGTGAGCTTACAGATAAATGGAGAAAAAGTTCCAGATATCAAATGTATTTTACTTCTCCCTTCCTTTTACAGCCTCTCAAAGAATGTCTACTCCTTAATCTCTATTATTATGTAGGTAGTTCACGTTACTGTGGTTTTCCTCCAGGACTCATATAGGGTTCACATAGCATAGCTGTGCTTTGTCTGCAGCTGGTTAAATACTGTCTTTAAATGCTTTTCTGAAGCATTTTTATTGGTCGTATTATCTTAATATGTAGGTGTTAGCATGTCCTTATTTTCCAGAAACTGAGGAGACTTCTTTTTCAGGCCCATGAAATAAGGTCAAAACTGCAATATAGTTACTCGTTCAGTTTACTCTTATTTCTGAATATTTTCCTTGTTAGCAATGTAGATGACGTAAAGGTAGCAAACTTCAAGCCTTTTATCCAGTTGTGTATGCTACAGTTGGTCTTATATTTAGATCTTGAGGAAATGGAATCAGTAGGAGGAATGTCAATTCGGTCATCAAAATTGTGTGATGGCCATAGCTCTGTAATATGCAACACTGTTTTTTTCGTTTTGATACACCATGGCTATTTTATTAGGGTTTGCAGATGATCTTGCCTCTTCTGCACCTGTGTCTTAAAAATAATCTTTTTCAATCTGCACTCCCATCACTAAATCACAGAGTAAACATGAGCTCTAGTATGCAATGTGATAAGTAAGTCCTGCTGGCTGCTAGGTGCATCACCAGAGTAAGTACTAAATTGATTCTTTAAAACTGGAAGTAGCACCTGAACTTTATTTTGAGATTTTTATTCTGGCAAATGTGCTTCATAAGGGGATTTCTAAAGTTCTGGGTATTTTTGCTATGAATAGAATACTGGGTATACTTAGAGAAGAATGAATTATGATGATTACTTAAAAGAGAGAAAATAGTTCATTTATATCACAAAGGAGTTATGTGTAGGTTTACTTCTCTGAAGCATTTTTAATAATCATATTATCTTAATATGTAGATGTTAGCATGCCCCAAAATACTCATATCAGGTGATCATTATTATATCATTATTTAGTCACAGGAAAAGAATATCATATTGGGAAAATATTTTTTTTAAATTACCTTTAGGCCACATTTTCAGCTTTAGATCATCATTTCACTTGTGTCTAATTTCCAGTATGTCTTGAGATAAATTCATCACAGGTAATTTCACTAGAGAAAGATTTGGTTGAAATATCATCCTGCTCTAGTTATCCCTGTTACTTAAATAACTCTAGAGTATGATACTACAAAGGATGCTTTCACTGTTTATTTTTCATGCATCTTGCCTGCAATTCTGAAGTAGATGATTCTGTATGTCACCATAAGAAATGCAGGTTTTTAAATTCTTCTGAAAGAAAAATCATCTATTTGTCTAATTAACCCAAGTGTTCAACATCATTTTGGCAGTGCTTGTTAGACCCTGAAATCTCGTAGTCAGCCTCCTTCAGTGTCCCAGCATCAATGGCAGTGCTGCAATCTCATTGTTGAACCACAATCACAAAATCACAGAATGACTTAGGTTGGAAGGCGTACATGTAGAAGGGAAGATACTCAGTGTCTGTGTATTTTATTTTTCAAGAAGCTTTCCTGGCATTAGTGCCTTTCTATTCTAGCTCATTTTGTCCTCACTACATGAAGTTATGTGTCCCCAGACATTCGTATCTCATAGAGCTTTTATGTTTTCTCAGAGGCTCGTTCAGTCATGTGTTGTTTCAGAAATATGTTAGACTATGTATAGTAGTAATTCCTAGTGCTGTCGTAACCTTACTGCAATATTTTTGAACAGTCACTTTTCAGGGGTTTTTGGATAGTCTAGTAGTCAATGATGTGCTTTAAGGAAAAGATTGTCCAACGTACCTCTTTTCTTTACAGTTTTGACAACATACCTTTCCAATAGCAACCATATATAAGAATAACTTTTGATGGAAAAGTATTTAATATGTATCAGTTGCAGTAGTTGTATCCTTGAATCATGCTTTTATCCTTTAATTCTTGCTGGATTGCACATACCGCTTGCGTTCCTCCAGTTTTTCCTCATCTTCTTCTGACCTATTGGCTACACCTTCCATTATTGTTTTCACTTCAAGTGATGGCAGCCAGACGTTTGTGTGTGAAGCACTTAAAAATTGTTCACATATTTCTGGAGAATTCAGTGGGTACAAAGTAACACAGGCCATTTAATACAATGCTGCAGAGGTGAAATAATTACTGAGCTTTCCAGTGGATTGTCCTGCCCTTACAGACCTTCTTTCAGGACATTGCCTTGGTGGCTGTCTTACTCTTGCAAAACCCTACTGAAAGCGAAATAATTACTTCTAGTTCTCTCTAAACAATAGATTCTTCTGACTGTAATATTATAATGCTTGTCTCCATTTTATTTTTTCTGTGCATTTTTATTTGCTTTTGAAATGAGGATTTTTGATTAGCCAGTTATTTTAGTGCCTTAATTTCTTGATGCAGGATAGATGGCTACGTGTGTCCACTCAGCCTGAAGTGCTTCACTCAGCCTAAAATATTTGTTTTAATGGTTGTATTTGAGTACTTGGAGAAGGAATAATTTGTATATAGTCCTTAAAAATATTTCTATCAGAAATAATCTGAAACCGAGTAGAAAGGAATACATAACTTGGAAAGATACAATTTCTAATTCTATATTCTCTCTCTTGTGTACATTACTGTTATTTGCCATGTTGGAAAAAACAAAGGAGACCAAACCGAAGCCAGAAAAGTTCTCCTTCAAAGTTGGAGGTGTTTCTACTCCTTTCTGGGTAGCTGTGTTGTGCTTGGAGGATAGGACAGGTTCTTTTGAGGGCTCCCGACTGAAGGTGTGGAAGAAACAAAAACAGTGGCAACAGAACAGCTGTGGTGAGTCCCACGAGATGGCAGAGGAACACATACAAGGCAGCATGCTGCAGAATGAAGTAATGGGCTGGGTAACGAGCTAATGGCGTACTGTCCTCCCCTGCAGTGGATTTGGTGTAATTTTTGACCCAGTTGAAAAACTGCTACACTATTCAGTACAATTTGCAGGCTTAAGGGAGGCCCAGCACTGGAACAGCATGCATTTAGAGGATTTGGATCAAGGTAGATTAGCATGGAGTAATAATAAACTTATGTCAATGTCAGAGGTGCAATATTACTTAATATTTCTTTCTTTTAGAATCTTTGGCACCACTGTTCCATTTTAGTGCCAGTAAAGCTGGGTATGCTGTTTTAATAGCCTTGTTTAACCTGGCAAAGCTAGTCTTAACACCTCATATCTGTCAGTTTAGCATGCAGAGGGGCAGACCTCAGAAATCTTTATGCATTTCTTAGCAGAACGTGCAAGTTCTATGAATATGGCCGAGTTGTAGGCTTCAGGGCAAAAGGGCTGAACTGGATGATGATTCTTTGTGTTCCTTTTTGGTCCCAAATTTTCTTTTTCATACAGTGGCTATACCTGGTGTGGTTTGTCATCTGGGAATCTGTAGACATGTTAAAAAAATTGAGTCTGGGTGTTGAAAACAGTAGTTGTTGAGACAAGAATGGTGCAGAGGATGTACACCTGGATCATGTTAGGACAACAGCTTATGGAAATTCTTTTGTGGGGACTATTATAAAAGAACACCATATAAATGGGGCTAATATATTCTCCTTTGAATTGCAACATAACTTTTCATGTAAAGAGTTACAGTTTCCATCTTTAATAGTGTAAGCTTTGTGATTGATGAAGTGCTACGTGACTGAGGGCCCTAACCTACCAGCTGATTAGCATTTGTAGGAGATGTCATAAAGTCATAGCTTTCATATAATAATTTGAATCTGTACTTGGAGTGGCTGGACTGTGCACACTAACTGATACTGTCCAGTTTGTGTTAAATTAAAATGTGTTGTACATTTAATTGTATGCATTACTGTTAGTTGTCTTCTAAAAAAGAGAAAATTTACATATAGTAAGATTAGGAGTATACTAGCATAAACAAATGAGTCCTGCTCTTGTGCTTTGAAATTTGCATAAGTATTATTGTTTGATGTGGGAATTCTAGCTGAGAAGACTACTGAAATTGAAACTTTTGAACCCAGAATGGTCCAGAAAGACCTAAAAGACCAAGTTATTTGTTCTTAGCAAGTATAAATTACAAGCACACTGCTGATAGAGGGTGCCTGTGGTTTGGTTTTTTGATTTTTTTTTTTTGTGTGTGTGGTCTAATCAGTTGGGAGAATATTTCCATAATCCTGTAAAGGGATCATAATGTCATCAAATTCTATCT